AGGGCAGGCACGGAGCACACACCTTCGGACTGGTGTTCCCACTCCCCCGCCACCCACCCGGCCGCGCCGGCAGACCCTCTGCACCCTTTTTCAGCGGGTCTCTCAGATTCGTCGTCACTTAACCACGTGGTCCTCATCCTCACTGGTCTCCGGGTTCAGCACCTGGGGAGGGGTCCCAGCCGCTGACCCATCTGCGGCCCCCGCCCTCCTCTCCAGGCCCGGCCCAGCGTTGGCCAAAGGCCCCCATTTCCCAGAAGAAAACGGAGCCTAGGAGAGGTGGCCAGGCCAGGGAGACCGAGACCCTCCCACCGGCCGCAGGCTCCCAGCGGGGAGGTGGGGACACGGGAGGCTGGAGCGGCGACCCCGGTGCAGCTCGCTGCTCAGTGAGCCCACGGTCCCTTCCCAAAGGTCCGAACTCACATCCAGAATTAGCTGCAGGGCACGCGGGGTCAGCTGGGAGCAGATGTGGCCAAACACGCTCCGGGCCACCTGGCGCATGAGGTGGCTGGGCTGGGCCAGCAGGGCCAGGAGGATCTCCACCAGCACCTCTACCCAAGGGGGCTCCTGGGGGTCTGCAAGAGGGAGGGGTTGAGCCCGGGCAGGGGACCACTGGCCCCGCTGCACCACTCCAGCCCCTCTCGTGACCAAGGACCCACCGATGGCCTTGGTGCGGCTCCGGCGGGGCTTCTCTCCCAGGCTCTTCCTGATGCAGGTCTGGATGTCGCCCAGCAGGTCACAGCTCTCTGCAGGGGACTGTGGCAGGACAGGACACACACTGGGGCCAGGCCCTGTCCCCAGCCCTTCTAAGCCAGGCGAGGGGCTGGCCAAATGGGAGCAGTGGCATCAGAAGCCTTCAACACCCCAACCCCTGGCCCGCCCTGGCCAGTCACCCCTACAATCCAGAATGGAAGCCCCCAGCTGGACCCCAGGACACCCCGAGAACTGAGCGTTTTTTTTTTTTTTTTGAGATGGAGTCTCGCTCTATTGCCCAGGCTGGAGTGCAGTGGTGTGATCTCAGCTCACCACAACCTCCGCCTCCCGCGTTCAGGTCATTCTCCTGCCTCAGCCTCCCAAGTAGCTGGGATTACAGGCATGTGCCATCATGCCGTTAATTTTTGTATTTTGAGTAGAGACGGGGTTTCACCATGTTGGCCAGGTTGGTCTCAAACTCCTGACCTCGCAATCCACTCGCCTCTGCCTCCCAAAGTACTGGGATTACAGGTGTGAGCCACCACGCCTGGCTAGTTGAGGGCCTTTTTACACCTAATACACAGTTACAAGATCCAAAAGCCTGCAGGGGACAAGGCATCCAACTCCCGCTTTGACACTCAAGAGAGGCAGAGCCTGACAAGGATGGTCAGGGCCCCAGAGAAGCCAGCAAGCCCCAGCCCCCAGTTCATAATTCTAGATTATTCCCTCCATGCTTGGCTTGGCATGAGAGACTGAATTGAAAGTCATTAGTTTTAACTAATTACGTTGAACTCATCTGACTGGGGATAACCCCGGACTTGAGTGAGGAGGTGTGGTGTGTGCATGTGCATGTGCATGTGCAGGAGGCGCTCTTGAAAACTGTGTGATCTTTGGCACCTAAAAGACAGACTTGCCCCTCATAATGCAGTGGGCAGCTTGAACATTCAGGCCAGAGTGGGACAAAGCAGCCCAAAGCCCTTGTCATTGCTCTCCGGCTCCCAGGCTGTGTGCCCAGGCAGGGCCCTGTCCTTCTCTGGGCTGCGCCTTTTTATTTTTTTCTGAGACGGAATCTTGCTCTGTCACCCAGGCTGGAGTGCAGTGGCGCCACCTCAGCTCACTGCAACCTCCGTCTCCCAGGTTCAAGCAATTCTCCCGCCTCACCCTCCTGAGCAGCTGGGATTACAGGCACCTGCCACCACGCCCGGCTGATTTTTGTATTTTAGTAGAGATGGGGTTTCACTGTGTTGCCCAGGCTGGTCTCGAACTCCTGACCTCAAGTGGTCACCCGCCTCGGCCTCCCAAAGTGCTGGGATGACAGGTGTGAGCCACCGTGCCCGGCCAGAGCTGCACATTTTATCTAAAGGTCCGACACAGCAAACTGCAGCCTCCTCTGTCCAAGTCCAGTTCAGAGATCCCAAGGCTGGGGACAGGCTCCCCATGTGTCCCAGAATCACCAGGGCTCTGCTGCTATCAAAGTCCTGATGCCAAGAATCAGAAGGGGCATCGTGGCCAACCTTTCTCCAAACAGCTCATCCACATGCTGGGCTCAGAATAACCAAAGCTGGCAAGTAAGACAACCACAGTCAAGTGGCCAGACGGGAGCAAGCGAGAGACCCACCTACTCAGGCTACAGAAGACGCGAAGCAGCCCCGGGAAGAGCCTCCTATGTTATGAGAAGAAAACTCTCAAAAGAAATCAGGGTACTGAGCCTCAAAAGTGGTCAGGGCTTCTTGATGGGAAGAACCGAGAGGGAGACTCCGTGGTTCTAGAGAGCCCGTTGCCCAAAGGTGTTCCCACAGCTGCGGGTACAGGGCAAGCTACTTTGCCTCTGAGTCAGAGTCTCAGTTTCTCCACGTCAAACACGGAGAGGAGGTGGCTGCCTCAAAGCTGTGGGGACTACGAGAGACCCCGCGCGGAGAGCCGAGGACACCGGCTAGTGCCGCTAACTGGCCAGAGGGACGTTTCCACTGCGACGAGGCTGGCTTCAAACACCTCCCAACTTAACTCCCCCAGAGCCTCTCCTGGCCACCCCCACAGCCCTCAGGCCTCTCAGTAAGGGGCCCCTTGCGCCACAGAACCCCAGGCTCACGGCCCCTCCCTCCCAGGCCCCGGTACCTTGAGGAGGTGGATGCCCACGAGGAGCAGAAGGTGCTGGAAGGCAGCAGCCCTGGCCTCGGAGGAGTGGGCCTCCAGCTCCTTCAGAGTCTGCAGCATCCTGTGGGAGACAGGCGGATTCCCAGGCCCCTGCGCCAGTCAGGCTGCAGCGTCCTGCCTGTCCCCTGGAAATCCCGCGTGCTCACCGGTCCCAGGCCTGGCGCTGCTGCGCACTGAAGGGTGTCACAGTGGTCACGTTGTGGCTGTGATTCAACAACAGGTCTGCGAACTGCACCAGGTGGTAGGTCCAGGGCTGCCCACCCCGAGTCTGCTCCGTGGCCTGCTTCAACTGTGTGTTGAGGGTCTGCAGCAGACTGGGCGAGGGGTGGGGCTTGGGGTCACCAGACCGGACAAGTGAATGAAGCCGCCTCCCTCCGCCCTCCCCAGGGCTCAGTCTCCCACCTCTACAGGACCTACTAGAACTCCCGGGACCTCTGCCGTTGTTCCCAGCTTGGGGGACCTGGAGGGAGCAGGCGTCCCAAGGCCTTCCCACCCTCGGGCCTCTCCTGGGCTGCCCAAGACTCACCTGAAGAAGGCACTGCTGGCCGCCTCTCGGGCCTGGCTTTCCAAAGGGAAGGAGAACGGCTGCTTTGTCTCGGGGATCTGGGATGTGGGCTTCTTTGTGACAAAGAACGCGTGGAACAAACAAAACCTGGGGAGGGCGGGACAGCGGCCATCACCATTCACTGCCATTGGTTTTACAGGCTCCCCTCCTTGGACGGCACCACCGAGCGTACGAGGCCAGCAGGAGGAGGGGGAGCCCTTCTGCTCTGGGTACAGTCCTCAGGGGCCTGACGGGCAAGGCTGGAGGTGGCTGGGCTGGGCTAGGATGGGAAGGGGCCGTTTCTCTGGTCTGGATCCCCAGCTGAACGCAGCTTAACCCGAGCTGCAGAGAGAGAATCAGTGCCCCTCCCAAGAAACCAAGAGATGGGAGGCTGTGTGGTCATGGCCAAGTCACGTCGCTGCTCCCGCAGACATGGGGCCAGTGCAGCCCCCTCTTGCAACCGTGAATGTTGAGGGTGATTCGAGCACCCGGCTCTGCACAGGCACAGACGAGGCAGGTGTGGGCAGAGGCTTCCCTGACAGCTCCCACGTGCAAAAGCTGCCTGCAGGGCGTGCAGAGCACACCTGAACCTTTTAGGCCCCTGCAGCTGGGATGCCTCCTGGGCCCCTTCCCTTCACGGGTTCCCAAGGAATTCCCAAGTCCCCTTGCACCTGTTCCCCACTGATGACTCAACCCAAAGGCTTCTGGCTCCAGGGGATGCAAACTAGGACGAGTTAAAGGGCCCCATTCCTTGGCCACACGCCCTGGCTCGTACCTGGCCACCTGTGCAGTCAAGGCCTCCTCCATCTCCAGGTGCAGGCTGTCCACAATGCTCACCAATCGAAAGATGATCCATTTCCTCAGCCGGAACACAGCTCGCTCAGGCCTAGCAGGGCAGGAGGTGAGGTCATGTGAGCCACTTAGAACTGGCAAAAACAGGCTGGGCCCAGTGGCTCACACCTGCAATCCCAGTACTTTGGGAGGCCAAGGCAGGTGGATCATTTGAGGTCAGGAGTTCGAGACCAGCCTGGCCAACATGGTGAAACCCCATCTCCACTAAAAATAGAAAAATTAGTTGGGCGTGGTGGCGGGTGCCTGTAATCCCAGCTACAGGAGAGGCTGTGGCAGAGAATCGCTTGATCACTTGAACCTGAGAGGAAGAAATTGCAGTGAGCTGAGATCACCTGCCACTGCATTCCAGCTTGGGCCACAGAGTGAGACTCTGTCTCAGAAGAACTGGCAAAAACAGGACATGCCTTTGCCTGATCTCAGGAATCCAAGATCTCCCCATCCCAATCACCAGTGTGCGACCACACAAGCACACTGAGGCCTCATATGAGAGCTCAGGCTCTTCCCCTCTCTCCTCTCACGGTTTAGAGCCAGGACACTGTGGAGGGAGGGCTCGGGTTGCTGGGCTCTGCAGGCCTAGGAAGCTAACTCCTAAGTTAGGGGTCCTTCCCCAAGGTCCACTCACACGTGGAGCGACGCGTCCTGGGCTTTCTTCTGGTTGTTGGTGCTGAAGTCAACCAAGGAGTCCAGGTCTGGCTGGAGAAACATGTCCCGCAGCCAGGCCACATAGCCCCGCAGGGCCGGAGGGCTCAGGAACCGCACGACCCGCCAGAACGTAGGCACGACAGGGAGGCCTTGGTTGGTGACGGATGAGAAGGCCACTAGCACGGCCAGCTGCCGCTCAGGGTCATCCTGGCACCCCTCTAGGAAGGTGCCCACGTAATCCTCCATCTCTGGGGCAAACTTGAACTGCTTTGGGAGCTGCAAGAAGTTAGGCATGGAGCTGAGCCCACCAGCCCAGGGGGCAGGCGGTCAATAACCCAACAATCCACCAGGCTTACACCCGCTATGGGTTAAACCAAGGCCCGGAAACCTCGCGTCGTACACAGCTAGGCTGAGCCTGAACTTGCAACAGTTCCGTCACCCCAGTGCTTTTGTCTGGCATCAAGGCCTCTCCGGGTCTGACTGCCCCAGCTTCACCACCTCCGGCCCCAGAAGGCCCCTCTTTCTGCCTTGCTGGATGTGGATGGTCTGTTTTCTGGCTCCATGCAGGGCAGGGTGGTACTTGAGGCGAGACTGACCTGGGTTCAAAGCCCATGCTGCTAATTCCTAGCTGTGTCATCTTCAGGACCAAAAACCACCGCCTCTCATGCACTTCCTCAGCGCCAGGACCCACACCCCGCGTTTTTGTGTGGCAGCTTAGCATTTTAGCAACCCTTTGCAGTCAGCCAATATTATCATTGTGTAGGTGAATAAAGGAAGACACAAAAACATCTAGAAGGAACTTCTCAGGGTCAGAGGCTCCCAGTGGGTAATGTCTGGCTTCACGGCCCAAGCTGTTTTCCTTTTAATTTTTCAGAATTGTATCCCCAGAGTGCGGTGCCACGATCATGGCTCACTGCAGCCTCGAAATCCTGGGTTCAAGGGATCCTTCCACCTCAGCCTCCTGAGTAACTGGGACTCCCAAGTGTGCACCACGGTCCAACCCAAACTCTTAACCACTGCCTGATACTTCAAGTCTGCCCCCTCACCCAGAATGACAGCTCTCTGAAACTCGTTGCAAAGATAAAATGAGCTGGTGAGAACAGTAAACCCAGCAGCACTTAATGGGCATCAGGCTCACTGGTGCCCAAACACGGTCATGACGACTGTTCTCATCACTGCAGCATGGGTTGGAGCGGTGGAGGTCTGAACAGCCCACTGGCTATCCACGCCCATGAGGGGCCTGCTGGCAGAAGGGCCTGACCTTACAAAACCGTCAGAGGGAAGCCGAGCGCAGTGGCTCACGTCTGTAATCCCAGCACTTTGGGAGGCCAAGGCGGGTGGATCACCTAAGGTCAGGAGTTCAAGACCAGCCTGGCCAACCCCGTCTCTACTGAAAATACAAATATTAGCTGGGCGTGGTAGTGGGCACCTGTAATCGCAGCTACTCAGGAGGCTGAGTCAGGAGAATTGCTTGAACCTGGGAGGCGGAGGTTGCAGTGAGCCCAGATCACACCACTGTACTCCAGCCTGGCTGACAAGAGCAAAACTCCAACTCAAAAAATCAACTCTGTCCGAGGGGAAGGGGTTCAGGCAGCTCACTACCCAGACAGAGGGGACACCCGTGGCCAAGCCCCCAAGGTGCCCTGCTCCCCTTCTTGGCAGGGAGAGCTCCCTGTCTAGCCTTTCTGGCAGTGTCGAGCTGCACGGGCGTTACCCACCTTCGCAGTGCACACGTGCTCCCCATAATGGCGGATCACGTCTCCCCGCAACACCAGCTGCAGCTGCTCCTTGGTCAGCAGGGGCAGGGCTGCGCCCAGCAGGCGGAAACACAGGTAGCTAAGGGGGTGCGGGACAGAGCCTGGTCAGAGCCCTTAGGACCCCTGGCGGGGACTCAGGACTGGTGGCCCAGCCCCACTTCACAGACAGGGAAGGGGGCCGAGAGAGGACACGCCCCGCGAGCACCTGGCTGGCCAGAACTGCATCTTCAGCAACCCTTGTTCCACCACCTCCTTCCAGAACCGTGGGAACTTGTCTTCCTTGAGCGCTAGGCGCAGCAGGTCCAGAGCAATGGCGGGCAGCTTGTGGTCCTTCTTCACGGAGGCGGCGGCCATCTTCAGCACGTTCACCAGCCTGCGGAGAGCAAGGGACTGAGGGAACACTCGCCTCACGGGCAAGGGCCAGGGTGCCAAGAGCAGCCGGGACACCCCCAGGCCACATGGCAAATCTGGGCCTGGCCAGATGCAGTCCCACAGCCCCAGGGAGGGCAAATCCGCCCACGTCCGTCACACCTGGGAACATTCTCATCCGAGAATAGGTTCACGGATCCCACCAGCTTCTTGAGCTTGGAGGGCACCTTCTGCTGGGCCAGGAGGAAGAGCTCCAGCTGTTCGGGGGAGCTGAGTATTGTATTCAAGTCGGCTTTAAGGACCTCTGGCAGGATCTCCTGCAACGTAGCCACTGAGACCTAAGGATGGAGAGATAAAGAAATGGTGGCTTCCTCTGCGGGGTGAGCCCGGTGGATCCTGCTCTACCTGCCAGGCTTCTGACACAGGGCCACCGGGTGAGGCACCAGAGTCATCAGAGGGTATTTGCTAACAAAACTCAAATTCCCAGGCAGCTGGGTTTTTGACAAGCATCCCACTGATGCTAACTGGCCCAGAGGTAGCTGCTTTTTTTGAGACAGAGTCTCGCTTTGCTGCCCAGGTTGAGTGCAGTGGTGTGATCTTGGCTTACTGCAACCTCTGCCTCCCAGGTTCAAGCAATTCTCTTGCTTCAGCTGGGATTAAAGGTGTGCACCATCACACCGAGCTAATTTTTGTATTTTTACAAAATACAATACTAGAGACAGGGTTTCACCATGTTGGCCAGGCTGGTCTCGAACTCCTGACCTCAAGTGATCCACCCACCTTGGCCTCCCAAAGTTCTGGGATTATAGGCGTGGGCCACCGTGCCCAGTCAGAGCTACCCTTTTAATTATTCTTTTTTTTTTTTTTTCGTATTTCAGAGGACTAGCTCATTTCATACACAAGGAGCCCTGGGTGGAGAGCTGGGATTCAAATTCAGGTCCTTCTGGCTCTGAGGTCAAGACTGCACAGTAAGCCCTGGCCTGGGACCTGCCAGCCCCTGCCTTTCTCTTCAGTGGCAAAGGGCCTAGATGCTACCTTCCCAAGTTGGGCAGTGGAGGCTCACGAGGGGCCAGCCTTGACCAGGATAACAAGGCAAACGTTTTATGTATTTGTGACGTGCCAGGCACAGTTCTAGAGTTGCACTGCCCAATACAGTAGTCACAGCCATACAGGGCTGCTGAGCGCTTCAAAGGTGGCCAATCTGAACAGGGATGTGCCTAAGTGTAAAATACACACTGGATTTTGGAGACGACCTGACAAAAAGTGTGTAAGAGGCCGGGCGCGGTGGCTCACACCTGTAATCCCAGCACTTTGGAAGGCCGAGAGGGGCGGATCACAAGGTCAGGAGATCGAGACCATCCTGGCTAACACGGTGAAACCCCATCTCTACTAAAATACAAAAAAAACTAGCCGGGTGAGGTGGCGGGCGCCTGTAGTCCCAGCTACTCGGGAGGCTGAGGCAGGAGAATGGCGTGAACCCGGGAGGCAGAGCTTGCAGTGAGCTGAGATCGTGCCACTGCACTCCAGCCTGGGCGACAGAGCAAGACTCCGTCTCAAAAAAAAAAAAAAAAAAAAAAAAAACCATGTAAGATACCTCAACGGTTTTTTATACCAATGCATATTGCAGTAATATTTTAGACATACCAGACGAAGTAAAATGTTACTAAATGACACCTGTTTCTTTTTACCTTTTCGACAAAGTCACTGAAACACTTCAAATTATACATCTCTGTATTTCTATGGAACAATGCTGTTCCAGACTCTCATCCAAGCCCCCATGATGTCTCTGTAACAGGAAGCGTTGGCCGAGCCCGCACAGCTGGTGAGCTCGTACCTCGGAGAGGACGTCCACCAGGGCCTTCCGGGGCTGCTCCTGCAAGTGGTTCTGGTACTGGGCTAGGGCCTGCAGCAGCTTCACCGACTTCATCAGGGCCTCCTGGTCCTGGTCCCCACAGAACGACAGAGGGTATGAGCAGGGCACACTACTGTCCCCTACCCATTCCAAGCCAGCCTACATTCCCCCAGTCCCTCCAAAGCTCTTACCTTCACCAGCCGGCCTGACTGAAAGAGGGCGAGTACTCCGAACAGGTTTGCAAAGAGAGCAGGTCTCAGCATTGTCTAGAGAAGGATTCCAGGCACAGGCATGAGGGGCCCTGGGACTCCCCGTTCCCCAAGCCTCCCACCCCAGGGCTGCTGACGTCCCTGGATCCACTTACCTTCTTCACCTCACACAGGTCGTATTTTTCTTGTATCTGCTGCAGGATGCTGCACAAGGGGAGGTCTTCGAAAGACTGTAACAGCTGCCAGCAGTTGTGTGGCAGGAGGAAGAGGGGTTCAGGAGAGTGGCCCAGCTACATCTTCGCAAACCTTAACCTCCTTTCCCCTTTCAACTTCTCCCAAGAAGCCTCAGGTCCCTAGTCCCACCCCAAGGACGCCTCTGGAGCTGCTCACATGGAACCAAGTCTCATCCCCCTGCTCTGTCTCCACCAGGGCTTCTGAAAGTACTTTATGAGATGGAGTCTCGCTCTGCTGCCCAGGCTGGAGTGCAGTGGTGCGATCTCGGTTCACTGCAACCTCCACCTCCTGGGTTCAAGCGATTCTCCTGTCTCAGCCTCCTGAGTAGCTGGGATTACAGACACCCACCCCCACCCCCCCCTAATTTTTTTTTTTTTTTTTTTTTTTTTTTTTTTTTTTTTTTTTTTTTTGAGATGGAGTGTTGTCCTGTCGCCCAGGCTGGAGTACAGTGGCGTGATCTCGGCTCACTGCAGCCTCTGCCTCCTGGGTTCCAGTGATTCTGCTGCCTCAGCCTCCTGGATAGCTGGGATTACAGGCGCACGCCACCACGTCCAGCTAATTTTTGTATTTGTAGTAGAGACGGGGCTTCACCATGTTGGCCAGGCTGGTCTTGAACTCCTGACCTCAGGTGATCCGCTCACCTCGGCCTCCCAAAGTGCTGAGATTACAGGCATGAGCCACAATGCCCAGCACAAAAGTACCTTCTATAGCCCCTAGATTGGTCGTCTGAAATTCTCCGCCACTGAGTCTTCTCTCCACACCTGGTCTGAGCTCCCCTCAGGCTGATCCTGCAGGCCTGGGTCTTTATTGTTCTTCCCCTTGTCAAGGCTCCTCAGAGAGTGGTCTACTGCAATCAGCTGAATGCCTTTGCAGGCCTAAGGGAGCCCACCCAGCGCGCACTGCTCCCAGCAAGTGTACCTAAGAGGCCGGGCAACCCAAGCACCAAATAGAAAACCTGGCCAGGCCTTGCTCACACTTTCTCCACCTTTATGTAAGGGGACCTCCCTCAGGTTGGCCTCCAATCAACTCTGCCACTCCCTACCTCTCTCTCCGGCTGCCCCTCTGCCGCAGCTGATACACCACACCTGCCCTCCTCACACCCCACCGTTTTGACCTGGATGGCTGGGATCCTGCCAGGAGCACCACCTCACCTGTGCCAGGGCCAAACTGTAACACGGCCGGGCTGTTTCTCGCGCAACCCCGAGTCCCGTGATTAGGCGCTTCAGGGCATATTTCATCTCGGACCCCTGCAGAACCAAGCGCACCCTCGTGTTCAATGGTGAAACAAGGTGCACGCCCTCGCGCACCTTGGCATCTAGGTTCGCGACCATGTGCCCCCCCGTCCCAAATCCCTGGCCCGCCGCCGCTTCCTTGCCGGGATATGCGCGGCCCCTGCCCCAGACCCCGCCACTCCACCTTCGGCCTGCCGCGCAGATACTCCAGCAGCTTCTCCGTGGCCGCAAGTCGCGTCTCCTGCTCAGGCTTCGCAATGTCCCAGAAGAAGTCTAAGAACTCGCGGCTGTGCTTCAGTAGGCCATGGCGGTCGGCAGGCCGGGCGCCACTCTGCGTCGCCTCTCCAGGAGACAGCGGCTCGGCGAGTTCCCTGCTCCCCATCCCCGCCACACTCACCGAAACACAAAACACGTGTGCCCCGGGCCCAGCAGCTTCCAGGTCAGGGCATGGCGCATGCGCACCGGTAGTGTCGGCGCGGAGGCGGAAGAACCTGGAGGGGCGGGGGAACCAAGAGGGGCGGGGCCACCAAGAGGGGCGGGGCCACCAAGAGGGGCGGGGCCACCAAGAGGGGCGGGGCCGGGGCGGACGACCCCCGGGAAGGCGGGGCAGGGGCGGGGCCAGGGAAAGCGGCGTTTCCGCCTTAGCTCTGAGCGGAAGTCCCTAGCTGAGCGGCGCGTAGTTTTTCCCAACCTTCTGCTCACACCCGTACTTGCCTGGCGGCTGTGGCATCTGCCCCTTTGGAGCCCCGTGGGGGCATTGCTGAGGGCCCATCTCGGAAACAAACCGAGGTGTAGCACATCGATCCGCCTCGTCCCAGATCGGCCCCTGCGCTCCGAACGTTGAGCCATTCAACAATTACTGGGCTCCTGCTGCGTTCCGTGCTAGGCGGTTGGAACAAAGCCGCTGCTCTCGTGGAAGAACACAGAGCCAAATGCATTAAAAAGGATCATAATTATGAAGAGAATTAGAAATGCAATTCTAATTGCAGAAGGAGCTTTTTAAACGCTGGAACGTGAATACATCACCCGTTAAAAACACGGCTAATTACTATTAAATAGGGTCTACAATAATGATTTGAGGGGTTGGTCAGGGGAAGCCTCTGTGAGGAAGTGGCATTTGGGATGAGAGCTGAGTGACAAGAAGGGCCCCCCTTCCCCGCACTCCTGCAAGGATCTAAGGGGACGAAATCCCAAGCCTTGCAATTTACAAAGGTCCAGGGCTGGAGGGGCTGAGGCTGGCGAGAAGCAAGGTTGCATGGGCCCTGGGCTAGGATTTCATTCTGAGGGTGATGGGAAATCACTGGTGAGTTTAATGCAGGGTCAGGCTTGGATCTGATTTACATTTTAACAAGATGATGCTGGCTGCTGTGTGGGGGATGGACTGTAGGTCTGCGCAGGTGGAAGCACGGGAAGACCATTTAGAAACTGGTGAACTGGACCCAGGGAAAATGAGAACAGGTCAGATTTGGGCTAATGTGGAGCAGGTGGGGGGGGTGGTGATAGATTTGGATGTCGTGGAAGAGGAAATGAGGGGGATGCCAGGTTTGGGACCTAAATAACTGGGTACATTGTGGTGCCATTATGGAGAAGAATTTTCTTGGGAGTGGGAGGTGGAGGTGGTGGGACCAAACAGTCTATTAAATCAGAGAAGCCTTTTACAATGGCAGGGGAGGGGAAGTGCTACTGGTCACCGTTGCTTCTTGGTTTGAGAAGCTGTGTATAGAGGGCTGTGGTCCAGAGAGGACCTAACCCTGGGGGGATGTCAGGGCTAACCTTCACCTTGAATTTCCACATGCTCAACTCCAATCCCTTTGTACCCAAGCCCCTGGGGCACCTTCTCACCCTCTCAACCGCTTCTCTGCTTTGCTGTCTGTTCTAGAAAGTGAAATGAAAACATTCACCTTGCACATCTGGTGCCCCAGGAGGCAGGAGGTGAGCGGAGCAGGGGGAAGCTGAAAGATGTCAACCCAGGCTCTCCCCTCTCTGGTTGTTGGTCACCTGTGCTGCCCATCAGGGAAGCCCTGACTCCAGTTGCTTCAAAAGCTGATGGAAAATTAACCAAGAGGCAGGAATGGCGCTTGGTTTCTGGGAGACTTGATCTTTATTTTGTACCCAGTCTGGTTGAGGAAGATAGGTAAGGGCTGTCCTGAAGGGAAGGACAGAGATGCCAACAGTACCCTGGGCTCTGCCTGTCCTGCTCCGTGGGGCCCAGAGCCTAGGCAGAGGCTCTGCACTCTCCACTGTCCTCCTGAAAGCTGGATCTGAACTCAGGGCTACCCCCAGGCCCTATTGCTTTTTCCTTATTACCCTGATGTTCTTAGCTGATAAAACAGCTAGAGATTCCATCCAGTGTGGGTGATCTGAAGAATGATTGTGTTAGCTCTGGATGCCAGAACTCAAGTTTAGGTAACTGAAAAGGCCAGAGGTTGGGGCGTGAGCCAGCAGTGAGCACATAATAGATACACACTCTTTTTTTTTAGACAGAGTTTCGCTCTTGTTGCCCAGGTGGGGTTGCAATGGTGCGATCTCGGCTCACTGCAACCTCCACCTCCCGGATTCAAGTGATTCTGCTGCCTCAGCCTCCTGAGTAGCTGGGATTACAGGTGCACGCCACCTCGCCCAGCTAATTTTTTGTATTTTTAGTAAAGACGGGGTTTCACCATGTTGCCCAGGCTGGTCTCGAAGTCCTAGCCTCAGGTGATCCACCTGCCTTGGCCTCCCGAAGTGCTGGGATTACAGGCGTGAGCCACAGCACCCGGCTATTATTATTATTATTATTATTATTATTATTATTAAAGACAAGGTCTCACTCTGTTGTCCAGGCTGGAATACAGTGGTGTGACCCTAGCTTTCTGCAGCCTTGAACTCCTGAGCTCAAGCAAGCTTCCTGCCTCAGCCTCCCAAGCAGCTGGGACAACGGGCATGTGCCACCGCCCCTGGCAAATTTTTAAAATTTTAGTACAGACGAGAATTCTTGCTCTGCTGTTTAGGCTGGTTTCAAACTCCTGGCCTCAAGGTGTCTTCCTGCCTTGTCTACCCAAAGAGCTGAGATTACAGGTGTGAGCCACCACACCCTGCGGGTGCACACTCGACTGCTGCTGGATCTGCTCTGCTCCTGCCCCCGTGCTTCAGATAACTCTGTCTTCTGCCAGACCCACTTGCATCCTGTTAGAACCCCTGGAAGGGGCAGCAGTCATGGGGGACACTGGAGACATGGGCGTGTTCTGCGTGGGCTGCCACCTGGAGCAGGGTCCCTTGGCCACAAGTGCTGGGATGCTGTGTTGGTTCTTGCTGCCCCTGGTGCTGGTGCTGGGCCTGGGTTGGGGGCCCTGCCGCCAGATGCCTGAGTATGGTGTGAGTCATGGCCCTGGCCACATCAGGGGTCCCTGAAGCCACAAGCCCCAACACATCGGCCTCTGTGTCATCCAGGCTGCCACGGAGGATGAGGGGGCAGGCCCAGGCACTAGCAGTAGACTTGGCCACCAGGTTGCTGAGCAGAACCCCAGTGCTTGGGGACAGGTGTGCAGAGCCAAAGGAGCAGTTGAGCGAGGAGGTGAGAAGGAGCACAGAGCCGCTGCTGTCCACGGCGGCCAGGGCACTGCTCCCAGGGCTCACAGCAGTCTGCAGGAATGGTGGGCAGGGGTCAGGGATGGGCACCCCGGAGTGCAGGGCTGCCTCCAACAGTGCCAGCAGTTCCGGGCCAGCTGAGGGACTAGGGGTGGTGAACAGGATGCCCTGGGGCACAGGTAGCTGCTGTGCTGGTTCCAAAGTGGGCCTGGGTCCAGCTGAGGGCACCTCCAGCCCCAGGTCTCCTGCCAGCAGACTCAGTAGAGCGTCCCCAGCAAGGTCTGAGGTGGGAGCAAGGGCTGCCCTGCGAAGCACAGCTGCCAGTTGTGGGTTAGTGGCTCGGGCCCCAGCGCCCAGGGGCGTCCCATCAGCATGGCAAAGTAGTGGACAGAGGCCTTCTGTGCCCCGGGCCACCAGAGCCCTTGCCAGGGGTGTGTCCACCAGGAAGCCCTCCTGAGCCAGCGTGGTGGGGCCCACTAGCAGGCGTGGCCAGGGCAGGCGGCCAAAGTGTGCATGCAGTAGGTGCAGGGTGGACAGAGCCGTGGGCAGCCCCAGGCCGGGGGCCAGGGTCTGTGCTGGGCCTGATGTCAGGGCCGTGGAATTGCCCGAGGAGCTATTGTGGAAGAGGCCCCAAAACATGGCACCTGCAGGAGACAGAGGGGTCACTCAGCAGCCGCAGGTCAAGAGTCACTGACTTATTTCAGTCAAGATCCCTTGACTGAGCCTGGGATCAGAAGTTACTGACCAGGCCTGAGGTCAAGGTTCCACGGACCTGGGCTCAAGGGTCATAGCCTGGGGTTGGGACTGCCACCCAAACCCTAGGTCCTGCTCACTAAGCAGCCTTGAGGTCAGGGCTACTGACTCCCTAAGTTCCAGGTCACTGATCAGGCTGTGGGTTGGGGTTGTGTTCTGGGGTCAGGGGTCACTGACCTAGGCCTGTGGCATGAGGATGCACCACTGCCAGGCACAACGCGGCTCCAACTCCAGCATCCACGACGTTGCCCCCGGCAACAAGCAGCTCTCGGCCTAGGTGGGAGCATGTGGCTGCAGCAAGGAAGGCACTGTCATGAGGCAAGGAGGGGGGCTGGGCTGGTGACCCCTGACCCTCCCCTCCCCCAAGCTGCCCCCAGCACTGACTGACCTGCAGGGCTGATGATGGCACCGTGGTGGTATACGCCAGGGCCGTGGGAGTGTCCGCCGGGTGGAGGGGCCACAGAGCCCAAGCTTCCTGTCGAGCTGCCCTGATTCTGGAGCTGCCTCACAGCCAGGGAGCAGCCAACAGCCAGCAGCAGCAGGGCTGCCACTACACGGGCCCAGGTTCCGGGCAGCCCACCAGCCTTGTTCCTGTAGACGAGGGGTGTCCTGAGCCAGGACTGGGACAGAGGGATGCCCACAAACCCCAAGAGACCCCAGGGAATGTTTCCCAAAAGGTTTGATTTAACAAGAGGAGTGCAAGTGTGCCAAGGAGAAAGGGCTTCTTGGTAGCGGGCACAGCTTGGGCAAAGACATGGAGGTGGGAAAGCACTTGGGGAAACAGGCTAGCTAGGGAGGGATCCTCTGGAGGGGACATTGGAGGGGCAGAGTCCAATCACACCCAGTGGGGTGTGGCAGGCAGGAGAGAAGGGGCTGGGGAGCAGGCCCAGCCAGGCATAGCCAGGCCCCAACCTGCCCAGCAGGTGCCTCCTGCACCAGGGCTTGGGGGCTGGGGACCTTTGACAGAGCAGCAGATGGGACAGAGGCCGGCTTGGTACAGATGTCCCTCCAGGTGCACAGACTTTTGGTTGGGTCAGGCCAAGTCTGGGGCTACAGCCTAGGTTTTCCCCCAAACCGATCGGACGGTGCCTGGAGCTAAGCCCAGCCGGGAGTTGCCTGGTCCTCCTGAGGGGCTCAGAGAGAGGGACTTGCCAACCTCAAGCCTGGGGAGCCTGGTGCTCAGACCCCTCCCTTACCTACCTGGAAGAGTCCTGGTGCCTCCAGGGGTTTGGAACCAGCACCTCTGATGTCTCCTCCTCCTCTTCTTCCTCCTCCAACTCCAAGCTTGGCTCCCAGGGCAGCAGCTTCTGATAGACCACAGGCTCTGCTGCCAGCTCCATGGCCCCCCAGTGCTCGCCCCAGCCCTCCTGCCTGCCAGCCTTCCCGGCTGTGTGTCAGAGGCCCTGCCCAAGCCTGGCAGGTGGGAGGTGGCAGCGACCTTGGGGAAGGGTGGGGGTGGAATCCAGAACAGGTCTGGGCAGGGCACGGGGCCAAGGAGGCTGCATCTGAGCCTGCCCCATTAGGACACAAGGCCCAAGGAGCTCTCGCGACAGGGCTCCCAGGTGATTGCCTGTAAGGGGTCACAGCTCAGTGAGGTCGACGAGGAGCTCAGCCCTAATGCCACAACCTTGACACCCAGGCACCTGCTAGGCTCCTCCCCTTGGGGGATGTAGCCCATGGATGCCCCCAGGACTGTAGTTTAGGGACTGTGGACTTGAATTAGAGCTACAGTTACATGGTGGCTTGGGTCAGAGCTCCCTCGTGCTTGAGTCAGCACGTGACTAGGTTCTGGCGTAGGGGTGTCCGCTCTCTGGCTGGGGTCAAGGCTCACCCTGTGGCTACTCTGGGTCTGGGTTTCTTTGGGGAGCAACTTGGTTCATAACTCCCTGTGCGTGTTTTGCGACTTTTGTCCAGAAGGTAGCGCCACAGCCTGGAAACCAACATTTCTAAGTTCATGTTGGGCTTCCCATCAAGGACCTGTTGCAAAACAGTGCTGTTTGTAACGGCCCCAAATTGGAAAGTGCCCAAATGCCCATTATCGCTGGAATGAATGATGTAAGTCACAATGGACCACTCTGCAGCAGTGAGAATGAGCAGTTTGCAATCATATGCAATAGTACACACAAGTCTGACAAACATACAGACGAGGCAAAGCAGCCAGGCAGGTGGCAGCACGCGCTACATGCTTTCATTTACACAAAGTACACAAACAGGCAACAACAGTCTGCCCTTAGAAGTCAGATAGTGACTGGAGCAGGGACCAGGGGGCTTCTGGGATGCTGGAGATGTCCTTTCTTTCCTTCCTTTCTTTCCTCTCTTTTGCTTCCTTTCTTTCTTTTCTTCCCTTTCTTTTCTTTCTTTCTTGACGGAATTTTCGTTCTTGTTGCCCAGGCTAGAGTGCAATGGTGCAATCTCAGCTCACTGCAACTTCCACCTACCGGGTTCAAGCAATTCTCCTGCCTCAGCCTCCCAAGTGGCTGGGATTACAGGCGCCCGCCACCATGCCTGGCTAATTTTTTGTATTTTTAGTAGAGACAATGTTGGCCAGGCTGGTCTTGAACTCTTGACCTCGGGTAATCCACCCGCCTCGGCCTCCCAAAGTACTAGGATTACAGGTGTGAGCCACCACACCCGGCCAAGATGTTGCTTCTTTTTTTTTTTTTTTTTTTTGAGACGGAGTCTCGCTCTGTCGCCCAGGCTGGAGTGCAATGGCCGGATCTCAGCTCACTACAAGCTCCGCCTCCCGGGTTTACGCCATTCTCCTGCCTCAGCCTCCCGAGTAGCTGGGACTACAGGCACTCGCCACCTCGCCCGGCTAGTTTTTTTTTATATTTTTTAGTAGAGAGGGGGTTTCACCGTGTTAGCCAGGATGGTCTCGATCTTCTGACCTCGTGATCCGCCCGTCTCGGCCTCCCAAAGTGCTGGGATTACAGGCTTGAAAGATGTTGCTTCTTAATCTGAGTGTTGGTGACACAAGTGCCCTGAGTGTGAAAATGCATCAAGTTGGGCATTGATGACATGTACTTTTCTATATGAATATTGTCTTTCAATAAAAAAGTAAAAATGAAAAAGCTCATGTATTTTCTACATTAAAACAACAACCATGAAAATCATCCTTCAAATTATCCATCATCCCATCTGGCTCTCCAGCTGCTTCCCTTTCTCGCGGCCTCTTCACAAGCAAGTACAGGGGTTCTTTAAGGCTGGTGTGCGTCACGATCACCTGGGCAGCTTGTTAAGTCAGATCGCTGGGCTCCCCTCCCAGAAAGTCTGGCTCCAGCTGTAGGGTCTAGAACGTGCTTTCCTAACTGCCAGTCCTGGAACCACGCCTTCAATCTAAAACAAAAGTGTACACCTGCTGTCTTCACGTCTTTCCCTCCTGTTTCCTCCCTTAGCTGGTTTCTGTCTCTCATTCCCCAGAGAAACCTTTGGTTTCCTTTTTTTTTTTTTTTCTTGGACCAATAAAAAACCAACCAACCAACCAAATAGAGCAGCCTAGGGTTGCCACCTTCTCATTTTGCCAGTGGTTGGGAGATGGGAATCAAAATGACCATTTTTATGATTTTATGACATTTATGTCATAAAACAATTCAGTTTCACTTTCTGTTAACATAGTGTAAGAAGGTTAGAATTTCAGAATGAAGGTCCGTCCTTCCTTCCTGAGAAAAGGCATCTGGGAGCCTTACGGCTCTGTGCTGCCCCCATCTCCTGCCCCAGCCTCAGTCTGGCCTTTGGACTCCTAGCATTGCTCCTTTCGTCCAGCAGGCAGAATTATTTTCGGCCCCCACCCTGCCCAGCCAACATTCCTCTGCTCTTAGAGCTAGGTCCTCACAAGCTCTTTGGGACAAGACCTCCACTGGTTGGGTTCTGGGAACATTTCCTAGTGTGGCCTTTCTCGTTCCTGCAGCTCTGGACCTATTAGCTAAGCTCCAATTAGATGCAGATGGGTTCTGGGGATATCCATGCTCAGGCCAAAGTAGCTCCAGGGGCAGATGGACTCGGTCATTTTAGGGCTCAGGGTAGGGGTGGGGGTTGGCAATGGCTTCAGGAGAACTGGGTCTAGTCCCATGTCTGCTAATAACTGAATATATGACTGCAGGCGAGACATTTAACCTCTGGGAGTCTTGATTTCACTTCTGTAAAATGAGGATAACAATATTTATCTTCCTAGGGTTGTTTTGAGGATTATACAAAATATATTTAAAGCAGCCAGGTGTGGGGGCTCATACCTGTAATCCCAGCACTTTGGGAGGCCAAGGCGGGTGGATCACGAGGTCAGGAGATTGAGACCATCCTGGCTAACATGTTGAAACCCCGTCTCTACTAAAAGTACAAAAATGTTAGCTGGGTGTGATGGTGTGCGCCTGTAGTCCCAGCTACTCGGGAGGCTGAGGCAGGAGAATGGCGTGAACCCCGGAGGTGGAGCTTGCAGTTAGCCGAGATCGCGCCACTGCACTCCAGCCTGGGTGACAGAGCGAGAAAAAAAATATATATATATACATATATATTTAAAGCATCTAGACCAGTGCTTAGTACAGAGCAGTCCCTCCAAAAGCATGAATTCTTTTCTCTCTGCTCTGTGAGCCTCAGTCTCCCCAGTGATTATTATGCATAATCTACATACGCATGTGTGCGTGCACACACACAAAGGGTGGCTTGAAGTCTGAAGGGTAAGACTGTAGATTCGTTAATTTCTCCATTCATTTCCTCATTTGTCCTCTTATCCTAATGGTTCTCAACCTTAGATACATGTTACAATTACCTGGCAAGCTTTGGAAAATTCTAATACCTATTCAGACCAGTTAACGAAATCAGGATCTCTAGATTGTAGCTTCATCAGTTCTGAAGCTTCCCAGGTGTTTTCAATGTGCAGGCAAGGTTGAGAACCACCGCTTTCGCGAGTGATTTCTGCAATTCGAATCACCTGTAGCAATTGGAAACCACCCAAACACCAATACCCTCGTCCCTCCCTTTCTCTCACTCCCACGACAATTGAATCAGCTTCTCTGAAAGTGAGTCTCAGTCATGATGATGTTTTTTTGTTTTGTTTTGTTTTGTTTTTTGAGATGGAGTTTTGCTCTTGTTGCCCAGGCTGGAGTGCAATGGCACGATCTCAGCTCATCGCAACCTCTGCCTCCCAGGTTCAAGCAATTCTCCTGCCTCAGCCTCCCAAGTAGCTGGGATTACAGGCACCCACCACCACAACCGGCTAATTTTTGTATTTTTAGTAGAGACAGGGTTTCACCCTGTTGACCAGGTTGGTCTCAAACTCCTGGCCTCAGATTGATCTCTCTGCCTTGGCCTCCCAAAGTACTGGGATTGCAGGCTTGAGCCACTACACCTGGCCTCTGGCTGCCCCTTCTAACCAAGAAAGGACCCCTGAGACGAGAAACAAGGAAGAGTATGGGCCCCATGTGTGTGTAAGCCTTTCCCCAGGTTGACTTTATAATTGACCCTCTTGGACATGCTGGGATTTGACTCTATAGAATGGAGACAATGAAGTATGTGTATGTGGCAGGGTTGGGGGTGGGTTCAAGCAATTCTCCTGTCTCAGCCTCCCGAGTAGCTGGGATTACAGGTGCCCGCCACAGCACCCAGCTAATTTTTGCATTTTTAGTAGAGACAGGGTTTTGCCACATTGGCCGGGCTGGTCTTGAACTCCTGACCTCAGGTGACCCACCCACCTCAGCCTCCCAAACTGCTGGGATTACAGGTGTGAGCCACCATGCCCGGCCTCTAGGTGTTTCTTTATGGGGAAAATCAACATAGCTCCTGGAAAATGCTTTCTTCTTTTTTTATTTTATTTTATTTTATTTTATTTTTTAGTTTATTTATTTATTTATTTTTTTGAGATGGAGTTTTGCTCTTGTTGCCCAGGCTGGAGTGCACAAAATATATTTAAAGCAGCCAGGTGTGGGGGCTCATACCTGTAATCCCAGCACTTTGGGAGACCGAGGTGGGCGGATCATTTGAGGTCAGGAGTTCGAGACCAGCCTGGCCAACATCGTGAATCCCGCCCGTTGGTGGCTTCACACCATGTAATCCAGCGCCTGAGATGTTTTGTTGGGAGGCTGAGGTGGGTGGGTCACCTGAGGTCAGGAGTTCAAGCACCAGCC